GACTTGAAGATCACGTCATCTTACACCTGCGCAAAGACACAATCTCTTCTGCCACTACTGGCACTCCCACAATCACCACCACAACTGAAACACCCAGTGGCCGTCCCAGGGCACAGCCAGCCCAACCGGCTGCCTGTTACAAGTTCGCCCACAAAACAAACCACAGGGACTCCATCTTCTGTCAAGATCTGTTACCCTGAGTTTGTCCTGGAGGAAGAGACCTTTGAACCTTCAGATTCCTTGAACCGTGTGAATAGTGGCAGCCTTTTTGACAGTGAGACTTCTGGTCAGTTCCTGGGACTCCTGGATTATGAGAATCCACAGATGTCAAACACATATGAGATCCCACTGTACTCTGGACCAGAGCAAGAGGGCGCAAAGGAGGTGCTAGTAGAGTTCACACTGTACCAGCTTGATTCGACAGATTACATCCACCAAGTTCTACGCTGTATCAATGATGAGCCCGTTGACTTTGGAGACATGAATCCCAACTGGTGATGGAGAGCCCAGTCGGAACCACTGACAGTGGCATTCAATGGACTCGAGTTACCACCCGAAGAGTCTCTACAGTGTGAATGCCGGGCCACCGATGACAAGAAGCACACTATCCCCTGTCCGTCCCATCTGTTTTGATTGAGGATGATTCTCCAACATCACTGTCACTGGGATTCCAGGTTTATTCACCCAATCCCGGTTCAGAGGAAAGCTATGGTGTTGATGACTTGAAGATCACTCATCTTACAACTGCGCAAAGACACAATCTCTTTCTGCCACTACTAGATCTGCCACTCCAACATCAGCCACCACAACTGGAACACCCAGTGGCATCCCAGGCACAGCGCAGCCCAACCGGGTCTCCTGTTACCAGGTCGCCCAAACAACAACCACAGGGACTCCATCTTCTGTCAAGAATCTTTTACCCAGAGGTTGTCCTGGAGGAAGAGACCTTTGAAACTTCAGATTCCTCTGAACCGTGGAATGGTGGCAGCACTTTTTGACAGTGAGACTTCTGGTCAGTTCCTGGGACTCCTGGATGATGAGAATCCACAGATGTCAAACACATATGAGATCCCACTGTCCTCTGGACCAGAGCAAGAGGGCGCAAAGGAGGTGCTAGTAGAGTTCACCACTGTACCAGCTTGATTCGACAGATTACATCCACCAAGTTCTACGCTGTTGATCAATGATGAGCCCGTTGCCTTTGGAGACATGAATCCAACTGGTGATGGAGAGCCCCAGTCCGGAACCACTGACAGTGGCATTCAATGGACTCGAGTTCCCCACGAAGAGTCTCTCAGTGTGAATGCCGGCCACCGATGACAAGAAGCACACATATCACCCTGTCCGTCCCATCTGATTTTATTGAGGATGATTCTCCAACATCACTGTCACTGGGATTCCAGGTTGATTCACCCAATCCCGGTTCAGAGGAAAGCTATGCGTTGATGACTTGAGATCACGTCATCTTACACCTGCGCAAAGACACAATCTCCTTCTGCCACTACTGGCACTCCAACATCAGCCACCACAACTGGAACACCCAGTGGCGTCCCAGCACAGCCAGCCCAACGGGTCCCTGTTACCAGTTGCCACAAAACAACCACAGGGACTCCATCTTCTGTCAAGATCTGTTACCCTGAGGTTGTCCTGGAGGAAGAGACCTTTGAAACTTCAGATTCCTCTGAACCGTGGAATGGTGGCAGCCTTTTTGACAGTGAGACTGCTTCTCAGTTTTTGGGACTTCTCGGAGCAGAAAATCCAGAGGCCTCCAACACTTATGAGATCCCTCTGTCATTTGGACCAGAACAAGACAGTGCAAAGGAGGTCAGAATTGAGTTCACCCTGTACCAGCTTGATGAAGATGCATCAAGCAAGTTTTTTGCTGTCATAAATGAGGAAGAAGTTGACTTTGGTGATATGAATCCCACAGTGGAAGGCGAACCTCTTTATGGCACTACAAACAGTGGCATTGAATGGACAAGAGTGACTCCTCAGGAAGGCCTTAATGTCAATGATGGGTCGCAATTAGATAAGATGCACACAGTCACGATGTCGATTCCTTCCAGTTTGATTGAGGAGGCAAGCCCGACTTCCTTGACATTAGGCTTTGTGGTGGAATTGCTCATGCCAAGTTCACAAGAGAATTATGGAATTGATGATCTGAATATCACCTCATTCTATACATGTGCAAAAACAAGTGTCCCTTCTGCCTCAGTCACCAGTACACCATCCACAAGCACCTTACCTCCCACACTCAGTACATTATTGCCCACCATTCCTTCACCGAGTCCGACCAAGAAATGTGAGGTAATCATTAGTGCCATTGTTGGAAATGAATCCTTTGAGATTGAGCCAGTGGGAGTCACTGCCATTGATGGAATTCAAGTTGACTTTGACTTCTTCCAAACTCTCACTGAAAGTCAAGTAAGTTGGCTAGCACTGCTGTACACAAATTCGTCTGGCGTGGAAGCATGTGGCACAGCAGAAAATCCCCAGTATGGCAGCAATGCCCTGAGCTACAGCACAGTGTGCGATGGTGACTACGCATCGGTTGATGTCTACTTCCATGGTGATTTTGCGTCAGGAGAGGCAGCTGTTGCACCAGCTCTATGCGAGGGCCTCACCACTAGTGACACATTTCAAACTGTTGCATTCACTGTGCAGATCCCTTGTGACAAAGCCTGCATTGAAAGTACTGCACCAAACACACCAATTCCCATTGAAAGTGACCCAACTCCAAGCCCAGTCACAGGGGCCCCAACACTTTTGACTTCCAATCCTTCATCTCCACCTTCCTGGATCGAAACAGGTTCAGTGAAAGAAACCAATGTTCCTTCAACCTCGCCTAGTTGGATTGCGAGGACAACTGTAAGAGAAACAGATGTGCCATCATCAGCGCCAACAGCACCCAGGACACCATCTCCTACCCCTGGTGTGTCCATTCAAGCATGACTCCAAGCACACCACCCACCAACGGTTTCCCATCTCAGCTTCCCACCTCAACCACTTCTGATATTCCATCAGAAGGTCCATCAGATAGCCCAAGTGGAGGGCCATCCAAACAGCCATCTGCATCCCCAACCAGCACATCTGCAGAACCATCTGGAAATCCAAGCAGTTCACCCAGTAGTTCTCAAACGGTGGTCACAACTTCAGAAGGAACTGAAACAGGCAGTCCAACAACAGCACCCAGCACCCAGCCAAGCAAAGTTCCATCTCAAATCCCCACGTCTACTGCAACATCTGCTGTTCCCTCTAACCGTCCATCAGAAAGCCCCAGTGGGGCGCCATCTGGTACGCCATCTGCTGTTCCAAGCACCAGTGCTTCTGGTTCACCATCGAGTCAGCCATCTGCCCCCCCAAGCACCAGCGCTTCTGGTCAGCCATCAGGAACACCTAGCACTGCGCCAAGCACGGGCCAAACAGTCATCACAACAGCTGAAGCTACTGAAACCGGCAGCCCCACTCCACTGCCAAGTACATCACCTAGCAGCACATCAGAAAACCCCAGTGGAGGGCCATCTGCTGTACCATCCTCATCACCCACTACCAGTTCATCTGCTGTGCCTTCTAGTTCTCCGAGTATTTCACCAAGTGGATTACCATCAAGTTCCCCTTCGCAACAACCCTCACCAACAGGTAGCGCAAGCCCTACAACTTCGACATCTGCTACCCCATCGCAGAGTCCATCACAAAGCCCTAGTGGAGGGCCATCTGCTGTACCATCCTCATCACCCACTACCAGTTCATCTGCTGTGCCTTCTAGTTCTCCGAGTATTTCACCAAGTGGATTACCATCAAGTTCCCCTTCGCAACAACCCTCACCAACAGGTAGCGCAAGCCCTACAACTTCGACATCTGCTACCCCATCGCAGAGTCCATCACAAAGCCCTAGTGGGGGGCCATCAGCTGTACCATCCTCATCACCCACTACAAGTGCATCCGCTGTGCCTTCTAGTTCTCCCAGTGTTTCACCAAGTGGCGTACCATCACGTTCCCCTTCGCAACAACCATCGCCCACAGGTAGCGCAAGCCCTACAACTTCGACATCTGCTACCCCATCGCAGAGTCCATCAGAAAGCCCTAGTGGGGGGCCATCAGCTGTACCATCCTCATCACCCACTACAAGTGCATCCGCTGTGCCTTCTAGTTCTCCGAGTATTTCACCAAGTGGCGTACCATCAAGTTCCCCTTCGCAACAACCCTCACCAACAGGTAGTGCAATCCCTACATCTTCGACATCTGCTACCCCATCGCAGAGTCCATCAGAAAACCCCAGTGGAGGGCCATCTGCAGTACCATCCTCATCACCCACTACAAGTGCATCTGCTGTGCCTTCTAGTTCTCCCAGTGTTTCATCAAGTGGCGTACCATCACGTTCCCCTTCGCAACAACCCTCACCAACAGGTAGCGCAAGCCCTACAACTTCGACATCTGCTACCCCATCGCAGAGTCCATCAAAAACCCCAGTGGAGGGCCATCTGCGTACCATCCTCATCACCCACTACAAGTGCATCCGCTGTGCCTTCTAGTTCTCCCAGTGTTTCACCAAGTGGCGTACCATCACGTTCCCCTTCGCAACAACCCTCGCCAACAGGTAGTGCAAGCCCTACAACTTCGACATCTGCGACCCCGTCACAGAGTCCATCAGAAAGCCCTAGTGGGGGGCCATCAGCTGTACCATCCTCATCACCAACTACGAGTGCATCCTCAGTACCGTCTAGTTCTCCCAGTGTTTCGCCAAGTGGCATACCATCAGGTTCCCCTTCACAACAACCCTCGCCAGCAGGTAGTGCAAGCCCTACTGCTTCATCTGCTGCCCCATCAGAGAGTCCGTCAGCGAGCCCAAGTGGGGGCCCATCTTTTTCACCCTCTGCATCCCCAAGCGCAAGTGCATCCGCTGAGCCTTCTAAGAGTCCAAGCCGCTCACCAAGTGGCATACCATCTAGTTCCCCGTCACAACAGCCGTCGCCAACAGGCAGTGCAAGGCCTACAGCTTCATCTGAAGCCCCGTCGAGGAGCCCATCAGCAAGTCCGAGTGGAGGGCCGTCAGTGGTGCCATCATCTTCCCCAAGCAGTGGTGCATCTGGTGAACCTTCTGGAGCTCCCAGCAGTTCACCAACAAGTGGGGAGACTGTGATAACAACAGCGGAGGGAACTGAAACAGGCAGCCCCAGTGTTTCATCAAGGTCCCTTCCTACAACCGACTTTCCGACAGCTTCCCCCAGCTTGCCCCCTTCAAATACCCCAAGTATTCTCCCAACAGGACTACCCAGCAATGGCCCTAGCATTGACCCTTCAGCGAATCCAACAGGAGGGCCAACAACAGAAATACCTTCATCAAGTCCTAGTTCTTCACCCTCAGTTAGTCCCTCTGGTGATCCCACGAGTGGTCCATCTGTTAACCCTTCAGATAGCCCCAGCAGGAACCCAACTGGTGGCCCCACTCAACGTCCCTCAGAGATCCCATCACACGATCCCACGAAAACTCCCTCATCAAGCCCTTCAATAGAACCATCTGAGCAGCCTTCACAAATTCCCACAACTGGGCCAACAACCCTCAGCCCATCAGCATCGCCCTCTGTTTCTCCTTCTTTGTTACCGAGTGTCCTTCCAAGTGCAAACCCCAGCAAAAGTCCCACAAGTGGACCAACGACTAACATCCCTTCGGCATCCCCATCTTTTTCTCCCTCATTGCTGCCAAGTGTTTTTCCAAGCGCAAGCCCTAGCACCGATCCTACTGGAGGGCCCACATTGTCTCCATCTGCAGACCCAAGCGATATTCCCAGCTCAACCCCATCAGAAAGACCATCAGAGATCCCATCACAGCCTCCCACACCAGCTCCCTCCTCAAGTCCTTCAATAAATCCATCAGAGCAGCCTTCACAAGTTCCTACAGTTGGGCCAACCACAACTAGCCCTTCGGCCTCCCCATCATTTCCTCCCTCATTGTTACCAAGTGTTGTTCCAAGTACAAGCCCCAGCACTAGTCCTACAGGAAGACCCACACCATCACCATCGGCAGACCCAAGTGAGATTCCCAGCTCAAGCCCATCTGAAAAGCCTTCTGCCAGTCCAAGTTTGAGTCCTTCACGCATCCCAAGCACAAGCCCGAGTGTTGACCCAACTGGCAGCCCATCTGAAGAGCCCAGTGAAATACCTAGTTCCAGCCCAAGTGGAAGCCCAACAGGTGTTCCCAACAAGCAACCCCAGCGAGAGTCCTACAGCCAGTCCATATCCAAGTGGCTTGCCTTCATTTTCTCCTACTGACAGCCAATCACCTAGCAAGAGTCCATCTTCTACACCCTCTTCAAGCCCCAGTGTCGTCCCAACCAGCAAACCATCTGTTAGTCCTTCTTCAGATCCCTCATCAATCCCTTCAAACATGCCAACAAGCGGTCCTACACCCTCACCATCATCCAGCCCCAGCGCTTCACCAAGTGATGATCCATCTGGAAGACCAACAAGTGGACCAACTCCATCACCTTCTGACAATCCCAGTAACCTGCCAAGTGTAAATCCATCCGAAATCCCATCTGAAAGTCCAAGTAGCAACCCCTCTGCAAAACCAAGCGGCATTCCCTCTGAAAGTCCCTCATCAGACCCCTCAGAGGTTCCCTCCGGGATTCCTTCAGAGGTCCATCCCAGGTCCAACAAGTGGACCAACACCCTCACCTTCTGACAACCCCAGTACCCCCGAGTCTCGTCCATCCGAAAGCCCATCTGAAAGTCCAAGTAGAACCCCTCTGCAAACCAAGCGGCATTCCCTCTCAAACTCCCTCATCAGACCCCTCAGCGGTTCCCTCCGGGATTCCTTCCGAGAGTCCATCCAAGGTCCCACAAGTGGACCAACACCCTCACCTTCTGACAACCCCAGTAACTCCCCAAGCACTCGTCCATCGGAAATCCCATCTGAAAGTCCAAGTGTCAGTCCGAGTGTTCTTCCAAGCGGCATTCCCTCTCAAAGTCCCTCAACAGATCCATCAGAATCCCCCAGCACTGGACCCTCTGAGAGTCCATCCAAGGTTCCAACATCCGGGCCTACGCCGTCACCTTCAGAAACTCCAAGTGCCAACCCAAGCACTCGTCCATCAGAAAGTCCATCAGGAATCCCAAGTAGCACCCCTTCGCATGGCCTACAGACATCCCATCTCCAAGCCCCTCAGCTACGCCTTCGGAAATGCCCAGTGAAATACCTAGTCCAGCCCAAGTGGTCGGCCAACAGGTGTCCCAACAAGCAACCCCAGCGAGAGTCCTACAGCCAGTCCATATCCAAGTGGCTTGCCTTCATTTTCTCCCACTGACAGCCAATCACCTAGTGAGAGTCCATCTTCTACACCCTCTTCAAGCCCCAGTGTCGTCCCAAGCAGCAAACCATCTGTTAGTCCTTCTTCAGATCCTCATCAATCCCTTCAAACATGCCAACAAGCGGTCCTACACCCTCACCATCATCCAGCCCAGTGCTGCACCAAGTATGATCCATCTGGAGACCAACAAGTGGACCAACTCCATCACCTTCTGACAATCCCAGTAACCCGCCAAGTGTAAATCCATCCGAAATCCCATCTGAAAGTCCAAGTAGCAACCCCTCTGCAAAACCAAGCGCATTCCCTCTCAAATCCCTCATCAGACCCCTCAGAGTCCCTCCGGGATTCCTTCGAGAGTCCATCCAGGTCCCAACAAGTGGACCAACACCTTCACCTTCTGACAACCCCAGTAGCCCCCCGAGCTCTCGACCATCCGAAAGCCCATCTGAAAGTCCAAGTAGAAACCCCTCTGCAAAACCAAGCGGCATTCCCTCTCAAACTCCCTCATCAGACCCCTCCGAAGTCCCTCGGGTTCCTTCGAGAGTCCATCCAATGTCCAACAAGTGGACCAACACCCTCACCTTCTGACAACCCTCAGAGGGTCCAGTGCTGGGGGATTCTGATGGACTGTTGAGGGACTTTGAGAGGGAATGCCGCTTGGAAGAACACTCGGACTGACACTTGGACTTTCAGATGGGTTTCCGATGGACGAGTGCTGGGGTTACTGGGGTTGTCAGAGGTGAGGGTGTTGGTCCACTTGTGGGAACTTGGATGGACTCTCTGAAGGAACCCGGAGGGACTCTGAGGGGTCTGATGAGGGAGTTTGAGAGGGAATGCGCTGGGTTTTGCAGAGGGTTCTACTTGGACTTTCAGATGGGCTTCCGGATGGCGAGGCTCGGGGGGTTACTGGGGTTGTCAGAAGGTGAGGGTGTTGGTCCACTTGTGGCTTGGATGGACTCTCGAAGGAATCCCGGAGGGGACTTCTGAGGGGTCTGATGAGGGAGTTTGAGAGGGAATGCCGCTTGGTTTTGCAGAGGGGTTGCTACTTGGACTTTCAGATGGTTTCGATGTCGAGAGCTCGGGCTACTGGGGTTGTCAGAAGGTGAGGGTGTTGGTCCACTGTGGGCCTGGATGGACCTCTGAAGGAATCCCGGAGGGAACCTGAGGGGTCTGATGAGGAGTTTGAGAGGGAATGCTGCTTGGTTTTGCAGAGGGGTTGCTACTTGGACTTTCAGATGGGATTTCGGATGGATTTACACTTGGCGGGTTACTGGGATTGTCAGAAGGTGATGGAGTTGGTCCACTTGTTGGTCTTCCAGATGGATCATAACTTGGTGAAGCACTGGGGCTGGATGATGGTGAGGGTGTAGGACCCTTGTTGGCATGTTTGAAGGGATTGATGAGATCTGAAGAAGGACTAACAGATGGTTTGCTGCTTGGACGACACTGGGGCTTGAAGAGGGTGTAGAAGATGGACTCTCACTAGGTGATTGGGGTTGTCAGAAGGTGAAGGTGTTGGTCCGCTTGTTGGGACCTGGGATGGACTCTCGGAAGGAATCCCGGAGGGGACTCCTGAGGGGTCTGATGAGGGAGTTTGAGAGGGAATGCCGCTTGGTTTTGCAGAGGGGTTGCTACTTGGACTTTCAGATGGGATTTCGGATGGATTTACACTTGGCGGGTTACTGGGATTGTCAGAAGGTGATGGAGTTGGTCCACTTGTTGGTCTTCCAGATGGATCATCACTTGGTGCAGCACTGGGGCTGGATGATGGTGAGGGTGTAGGACCGCTTGTTGGCATGTTTGAAGGGATTGATGATGGATCTGAAGAAGGACTAACAGATGGTTTGCTGCTTGGGACGACACTGGGGCTTGAAGAGGGTGTAGAAGATGGACTCTCACTAGGTGATTGGCTGTCAGTGGGAGAAATTGAAGGCAAGCCACTTGGATATGGACTGGCTGTGGGAGTCTCGCTAGGTTTGCTTGTTGGGACACCTGTTGGCCGACCACTTGGGCTGGAACTAGGTATTTCACTGGGCATTTCCGAAGGCGTAGCTGAGGGGCTTGGAGATGGGATGTCTGTAGGCCATGCGGAAGGGGTGCTACTTGGGATTCCTGATGGACTTTCTGATGGACGAGTGCTTGGGTTGGCACTTGGAGTTTCTGAAGGTGACGGGGTAGGCCCGGATGTTGGAACCTTGGATGGACTCTCAGAGGGTCCAGTGCTGGGGGATTCTGATGGATCTGTTGAGGGACTTTGAGAGGGAATGCCGCTTGGAAGAACACTCGGACTGACACTTGGACTTTCAGATGGGATTTCCGATGGACGAGTGCTTGGGGAGTTACTGGGGTTGTCAGAAGGTGAGGGTGTTGGTCCACTTGTTGGGACCTTGGATGGACCCTCTGAAGGAATCCCGGAGGGAACCTCTGAGGGGTCTGATGAGGGAGTTTGAGAGGGAATGCCGCTTGGTTTTGCAGAGGGGTTGCTACTTGGACTTTCAGATGGGATTTCGGATGGATTTACGCTTGGCAGGTTACTGGGATTGTCAGAAGGTGATGGAGTTGGTCCACTTGTTGGTCTTCCAGATGGATCATCACTTGGTGAAGCGCTGGGGCTGGATGATGGTGAGGGTGTAGGACCGCTTGTTGGCATGTTTGAAGGGATTGATGAGGGATCTGAAGAAGGACTAACAGATGGTTTGCTGGTTGGGACGACACTGGGGCTTGAAGAGGGTGTAGAAGATGGACTCTTGCTAGGTGATTGGCTGTCAGTAGGAGAAAATGAAGGCAAGCCACTTGGATATGGACTGGCTGTAGGACTCTCGCTGGGGTTGCTTGTTGGAACACCTGTTGGGCTTCCACTTGGGCTGGAACTAGGTATTTCACTGGGCTCTTCAGATGGGCTGCCAGTTGGGTCAACACTCGGGCTTGTGCTTGGGATGCGTGAAGGACTCAAACTTGGACTGGCAGAAGGCTTTTCAGATGGGCTTGAGCTGGGAATCTCACTTGGGTCTGCCGATGGTGATGGTGTGGGTCTTCCTGTAGGACTAGTGCTGGGGCTTGTACTTGGAACAACACTTGGTAACAATGAGGGAGGAAATGATGGGGAGGCCGAAGGGCTAGTTGTGGTTGGCCCAACTGTAGGAACTTGTGAAGGCTGCTCTGATGGATTTATTGAAGGACTTGAGGAGGGAGCTGGTGTGGGAGGCTGTGATGGGATCTCTGATGGTCTTTCTGATGGGGTTGAGCTGGGAATATCGCTTGGGTCTGCAGATGGAGACAATGTGGGCCCTCCAGTAGGATCGGTGCTAGGGCTTGCGCTTGGAAAAACACTTGGCAGCAATGAGGGAGAAAAAGATGGGGATGCCGAAGGGATGTTAGTCGTTGGTCCACTTGTGGGACTTTTGCTGGGGTTTGCACTTGGAAGGACACTCGGTAACAAAGAAGGAGAAACAGAGGGCGATGCTGATGGGCTGAGGGTTGTTGGCCCAGTTGTGGGAATTTGTGAAGGCTGCTCAGATGGTTCTATTGAAGGGCTTGATGAGGGAGTTTTCGTGGGATCGTGTGATGGGATCTCTGAGGGACGTTGAGTGGGGCCACCAGTTGGGTTCCTGCTGGGGCTATCTGAAGGGTTAACAGATGGACCACTCGTGGGATCACCAGAGGGACTAACTGAGGGTGAAGAACTAGGACTTGATGAAGGTATTTCTGTTGTTGGCCCTCCTGTTGGATTCGCTGAAGGGTCAATGCTAGGGCCATTGCTGGGTAGTCCTGTTGGGAGAATACTTGGGGTATTTGAAGGGGGCAAGCTGGGGGAAGCTGTCGGAAAGTCGGTTGTAGGAAGGGACCTTGATGAAACACTGGGGCTGCCTGTTTCAGTTCCCTCCGCTGTTGTTATCACAGTCTCCCCACTTGTTGGTGAACTGCTGGGAGCTCCAGAAGGTTCACCAGATGCACCACTGCTTGGGGAAGATGATGGCACCACTGACGGCCCTCCACTCGGACTTGCTGATGGGCGCCTCGACGGGGCTTTAGATGAAGCTGTAGGCCTTGCACTGCCTGTTGGCGACGGCTGTTGTGACGGGGAACTAGATGGTATGCCACTTGGTGAGCGGCTTGGACTCTTAGAAGGCTCAGCGGATGCACTTGCGCTTGGGGATGCAGAGGGTAAAAAAGATGGGCCCCCACTTGGGCTCGCTGACGGACTCTCTGATGGGGCAGCAGATGAAGCAGTAGGGCTTGCACTACCTGCTGGCGAGGGTTGTTGTGAAGGGGAACCTGATGGTATGCCACTTGGCGAAACACTGGGAGAACTAGACGGTACTGAGGATGCACTCGTAGTTGGTGATGATGATGGTACAGCTGATGGCCCCCCACTAGGGCTTTCTGATGGACTCTGTGACGGGGTCGCAGATGTCGAAGTTGTAGGGCTTGCACTACCTGTTGGCGAGGGTTGTTGCGAAGGGGAACGTGATGGTACGCCACTTGGTGAAACACTGGGAGAACTAGAAGGCACAGCGGATGCACTTGTAGTGGGTGATGAGGATGGTACAGCAGATGGCCCTCCACTGGGGTTTTCTGATGGACTCTGCGATGGGGTAGCAGATGTCGAAGTTGTAGGGCTTGCGCTACCTGTTGGTGAGGGTTGTTGCGAAGGGGAACGTGATGGTACGCCACTTGATGAAACACTGGGAGAACTAGAAGGCACAGCAGATGCACTTGTAGTGGGTGATGAGGATGGTACTGCAGATGGCCCTCCACTGGGGTTTTCTGATGGACTCTGCGATGGGGTAGCAGATGTCGAAGATGTAGGGATTGCACTACCTGTTGGTGAGGGTTGTTGCGAAGGGGAACTTGATGGTACGCCACTTGGCGAAATACTCGGAGAACTAGAAGGCACAGCGGATGCACTTGTAGTGGGTGATGAGGATGGTACAGCTGATGGCCCCCCACTAGGGCTTCTGATGGACTCTGCGATGGGGTAGCAGATGTCGAAGTTGTAGGGCTTGCGCTACCTGTGGGGATGGTTGTTGCGAAGGGGAACTGATGGTACGCCACTTGGTGAAACACTGGGAGAACTAGAAGGCACAGCGGATGCACTTGTAGTGGGTGATGAGGATGGTACAGCTGATGGCCCCCCACTAGGGCTTTGTGATGGACTCTGCGATGGGGTAGCAGATGTCGAAGTTGTAGGGCTTGCGCTACCTGTTGGGAGGGTTGTTGCGAGGGGAACTGATGGTACCACTTGGTGAATACTGGAGAACTAGAAGGCACAGCAGATGAACTGTAGTGGGTGATGAGGATGGTACAGCGATGGCCCCCACTAGGGCTTTGTGATGGACTCTGCGATGGGGTAGCAGATGTCGAAGTGTAGGGTTGCCTACCTGTTGGTGAGGGTTGTTGCGAAGGGGAACTTGATGGTAATCCACTTGGTGAAATACTCGGAGAACTAGAAGGCACAGCAGATGAACTGGTAGTGGGTGATGAGGATGGTACAGCAGATGGCCCTCCACTGGGGTTTTCTGATGTGCTGCTAGGTGATGTACTTGGCAGTGGAGTGGGGCTGCCGGTTTCAGTAGCTTCAGCTGTTGTGATGACTGTTTGGCCCGTGCTTGGCGCAGTGCTAGGTGTTCCTGATGGCTGACCAGAAGCGCTGGTGCTTGGGGGGGCAGATGGCTGACTCGATGGTGAACCAGAAGCACTGGTGCTTGGAACAGCAGATGGCGTACCAGATGGCGCCCCACTGGGGCTTTCTGATGGACGGTTAGAGGGAACAGCAGATGTTGCAGTAGACGTGGGGATTTGAGATGGAACTTTGCTTGGCTGGGTGCTGGGTGCTGTTGTTGGACTGCCTGTTTCAGTTCCTTCTGAAGTTGTGACCACCGTTTGAGAACTACTGGGTGAACTGCTTGGATTTCCAGATGGTTCTGCAGATGCGCTGGTTGGGGATGCAGATGGCTGGTTGGATGGCCCTCCACTTGGGCTATCTGATGGACCTTCTGATGGAATATCAGAAGTGGTTGAGGTGGGAAGCTGAGATGGGAAACCGTTGGTGGGTGGTGTGCTTGGAGTCATGCTTGGAATGGACACACCAGGGGTAGGAGATGGTGTCCTGGGTGCTGTTGGCGCTGATGATGGCACATCTGTTTCTCTTACAGTTGTCCTCGCAATCCAACTAGGCGAGGTTGAAGGAACATTGGTTTCTTTCACTGAACCTGTTTCGATCCAGGAAGGTGGAGATGAAGGATTGGAAGTCAAAAGTGTTGGGGCCCCTGTGACTGGGCTTGGAGTTGGGTCACTTTCAATGGGAATTGGTGTGTTTGGTGCAGTACTTTCAATGCAGGCTTTGTCACAAGGGATCTGCACAGTGAATGCAACAGTTTGAAATGTGTCACTAGTGGTGAGGCCCTCGCATAGAGCTGGTGCAACAGCTGCCTCTCCTGACGCAAAATCACCATGGAAGTAGACATCAACCGATGCGTAGTCACCATCGCACACTGTGCTGTAGCTCAGGGCATTGCTGCCATACTGGGGATTTTCTGCTGTGCCACATGCTTCCACGCCAGACGAATTTGTGTACAGCAGTGCTAGCCAACTTACTTGACTTTCAGTGAGAGTTTGGAAGAAGTCAAAGTCAACTTGAATTCCATCAATGGCAGTGACTCCCACTGGCTCAATCTCAAAGGATTCATTTCCAACAATGGCACTAATGATTACCTCACATTTCTTGGTCGGACTCGGTGAAGGAATGGTGGGCAATAATGTACTGAGTGTGGGAGGTAAGGTGCTTGTGGATGGTGTACTGGTGACTGAGGCAGAAGGGACACTTGTTTTTGCACATGTATAGAATGAGGTGATATTCAGATCATCAATTCCATAATTCTCTTGTGAACTTGGCATGAGCAATTCCACCACAAAGCCTAATGTCAAGGAAGTCGGGCTTGCCTCCTCAATCAAACTGGAAGGAATCGACATCGTGACTGTGTGCATCTTATCTAATTGCGACCCATCATTGACATTAAGGCCTTCCTGAGGAGTCACTCTTGTCCATTCAATGCCACTGTTTGTAGTGCCATAAAGAGGTTCGCCTTCCACTGTGGGATTCATATCACCAAAGTCAACTTCTTCCTCATTTATGACAGCAAAAAACTTGCTTGATGCATCTTCATCAAGCTGGTACAGGGTGAACTCAATTCTGACCTCCTTTGCACTGTCTTGTTCTGGTCCAAATGACAGAGGGATCTCATAAGTGTTGGAGGCCTCTGGATTTTCTGCTCCGGAAGTCCCAAAAACTGAGAGCGTCTCACTGTCAAAAAGGCTGCCACCATTCCACGGTTCAAGGAATCTGAAGTTTCAAAGGTCTCTCTCCAGGACAACCTCAGGGTAACAGATCTTGACAGAAGATGGAGTCCCTGTGGTTGTTGTTGTGGGCGAACTGGTACAGGAGACCGGTTGGGCTGGCGTGCCTGGGACGCCACTGGGTGTTCCAGTTGTGGTGCTGATGTTGGAGTGCCAGTAGTTGCAGAAGGAGATTGTGTCTTTGCGCAGGTGTAAGATGACGTGATCTTCAAGCATCAACACCATAGCTTCCTCTGAAGGGATTGGGTGAATCAACCTGGAATCCAAGCGAAGTGATGTTGGGAGAATCATCCTCAATAAAATCAGATGGGACGGACAGGGTGATGTGTGCTTCTTGTCATCGGTGGGCCCGGCATTCACACTGAGAGACTCTTCGGGTGTAACTCGAGTCCATGGAATGCCCCTGTCAGTGGTTCCGGACTGTGGGCTCTCCATCACCAGTGGATTCATGTCTCCAAAGTCAACGGGCTCATCATTGATCACAGCGTAGAACTTGGTGGAGAATCTGTCGAATCAAGCTGGTACAGGGTGACTCTACTAGCACCTCCTTTGCGCCCTCTTGCTCTGGTCCAGAGGACAGTGGGATCTCATATGTGTTTGACATCTGTGGATTCTCATCATCCAGGAGTCCCAGGAACTGACCAGAAGTCTCACTGTCAAAAGGCTGCCACCATTCCACGGTTCAGAGGAATCTGAAGTTCCAAAGTTCTCTTCCTCCAGGACAACCTCAGGAGTAACAGATCTTGACAGAAGATGGAGTCCCTGTGTTGTTGTTGTGGGCGAACTGGTAACAGGAGACCCGGTTGGGGGTGTAGAGGGGAGGCTGTCGCCTGGGATCGCAACTGTGGTGTTCCCAGTTGTGGTGGCTGATGTTGGAGTGCCAGTAGTGGCAGAAGGAGATTGTGTCTTTGCAGCAGGTGTAAGATGACGTTATCTTCAAGTCATCACACACCATAGCTTTCCTCTGAACCGGATTGGGTGAATCAACCTGGAATCACAGCGTAGACGAGGATGTGTGAGAATCATCCTCAATCAAATCAGATGGGACGGACAGGGTGATAGTGTGCTTCTTGTCATCGGTGGGCCCGGCATTCACACTGAGAGACTCTTCGGGGGTAACTCGAGTCCATTGAATGCCACTGTCAGTGGTTCCGGACTGGGGCTCTCCATCACCAGTGGGATTCATGTCTCCAAAGTCAACGGGCTCATCATTGATCACAGCGTAGAACTTGGTGGATGAATCTGTCGAATCAAGCTTTACAGGGTGAACTCTACTAGCACCTCCTTTGCGCCCTCTTGCTCTGGTCCAGAGGACAGTGGATCTCATATGTGTTTGACATCTGTGGATTCTCCTCCTCCAGGAGTCCCAGGAACTGACCAGAAGTCTCACTGTCAAAAAGGCTGCCACTATTCCCACGGTTCAGAGGAATCTGAAGTTTCAAAGGTCTCCTCCTCCAGGACAACCTCAGGGTAACAGAACTTGACAGAAGATGGAGTCCCTGTGGTTGTTGTTGTGGCGAATGGTAACAGGAGACCCGGTTGGGCTGGCTGTGCCTGGGACGCCACTGTGGTGTTCCAGTTGTGGTGGCTGATGTTGGAGTGCCAGTAGTGGCAGAAGAGAGTTGTGTCTTTGCGCAGGTGTAAGACGACGTGATCTTCAAGTCATC